TCTCACTTCTGCAGTGAACATGCCTGCATCTGGCACACAGAAGGCCTGAGGCTGACATGATGATGCTACCACGACGGTATTCGAAAGCTTTACCCCTATAGTATTGACTAAGCTACGCAAAACGCCCGCCTGCACCACCCCCCGCTGGAGGGGTACCTCACTGCACCATTCCCACTAAAGTGGGTGTCAGAAAATATATGGCCAGAAAGTAAACTACGAAAGAGATCACAGTACAACTTATTGTTTCCGACACCTGTGCCATAATGCGCCATGTGCGAAATCCTCTAAATCCAGCTTTGAGGAACCATCGGATATCAACAGCATGTCGTTGGAGACGGAAGGGTGGAGATCAGATGGAATCCACAGGAGAAGCTGTCCTTCTGGACCTATAATCCACCCTTCCTTGAGAGACGCTAGGTTGCAAGAGTCTTGAAGAACGGAGGAGGTGGAAGGAAGAATACTAGTCAGGTCGGACGAGAAGCTTGTAGGTGCTTTAAAGGCATTGTCCCACACCTGGATTGTTTGGTCATCTGAACCAGACGTGACAAATTGTCCATCTGGCGAGATTGCAACAGACCGAACGTAGTCATCGTGCTTTGCAACTTGGAGAGAGGCACGAAATACACCGCCACTCTCTACATTCCACACCCGGACGGTATTGTCAGCTGAACCAGACACGATGTGTTTTCCATCTGGCGAGATTGCAACAGACAGAACATCGTCGGTGTGCCCACGGAGAGGAGCACAACATGATTTTCCATTCTTTGCATTCCACACCCGGATCGTCTTGTCACGTGAACCAGACACGATGAGAGTTTTATCTGACGAGAGTGCGACAGACTGGACCCAGTCGGTGTGCCCTCGGAACGGGGCACTCAATGCCTCGTAAGTAACCGCGTTCCATACCCGGATCATATGATCGGCTGAACCAGAAACAATGCACTCTCCATTTATCTGGACAGACTGTACGTAGGCGGTGTGCCCTTGGAGTGGGGCACCGAGTGCCTTACCAGCCCCCACATCCCACACCCGGATCGTCTTGTCATTTGAACCAGATACAACGTGTTTTCCATCTCGCGAGATAGCGACAGACCGAACGGCGCCAGTATGCCCTTGGAGAGTAACTGCACTGCTCTTCTCCGTATCCCACACCTGGACCGTCTCGTCATTTGAGCCAGACACAATGAGTTTGCTATCTGACGAAATTGCAACAGATCGAACAGCACCGGTGTGCTCTTTGGGAGAAGAAGCCAACTTCTTGCCAGTCTTCCTATCAAACACCCGAATTCTTCCGTCATCTAAACCACACACGATACGTCTTCCATCAGGTGAGACTACGACCGACATAACGGCGGCCGATATAGCACTGGCATCCCCGCCAAGGGTCTGAGGCTGCACCATGACATGTCCATGAACAACCCGAGCGATGCGAGAAAAATGGGGGACAGATAGTTTATATACCGCCGACTCTGGTGGAGTAAACGGCAGAGCGGACAAGTATAAATGAGGAGTGCTGTGCAAAATGGTGGTTCCGAATCTCCGGACGAATTCTTGCGTGTCCCTGGCAGCGCCACCGGTATGTGTATATTCATCATGACCCTGCCATTACCCGTGAGGTTCCATTGGTCCCAACAATGGGATGAAGCTACGTACCTTGTACCAGTCTGAGATAGACGAAAGGCACCCTGCTGAACTATCGAGACTTTTCATTAGAGCCAGTGCTTCCAGCCAGAAGAGCAGGCGTTCTCCGCTAAAAAAAGCTTCGACTTCCTCAGCAAGGGCCTGTTTAAAAGAGGCAGCTTGTACGTGTGTCCCCCAGAAGCGACACGAGTACGATAGCTCAGCCGAGATGGACTTCTTCACTCGTGTCTCCAGATCGGTGACAGCAGAGTTGGGCAGGTAAGAGCTCTCCAAGGAGCAGATATTGAAACAAAGTCCGTATTTCATGACTTGAAGCGAGGCAAAAGCCAGATCACTTTGTGCCAGCGACACATCGACGAAGAAGTTGTCGCTCCGCGACTTTTCTCTGAGAAAATCGTAGAAGGATAGGTGAACCGGACATATTGGAGTCTGTGAGTCACTAGTACCGATAAAAAGTGAATCCAGTAGCCCGATGACCCGAGCCACGTCGTAACGGTCATCATCGCATGGGAAATGCAGTCGCATCGCAGTCAATGCGGCCATAGGAAGTGGTTCCGGTGATGCAAGGATTTGCCCCATCACGGAGAGAAACATGGGAATCAATTCCCCGCATTCGTCCTCTGGCATCATTTCTGCCAAGATAAGTCTATATATAATATCAAATGGAAATACTTCCGAATCTTCTTCTTCCATTTTATCGAGCACACGTTTGAAACGGACCATTGGATCTAGGCCCACTCTAGTGGCTCCGTTGATATACTCGCAGGCGAGACGAGCCCATTCAAACAGACCACCAGATTTCTGAACAAGCATCTCGAAATGCCCGTCGTCGAACATGTTGCGTGGGCCTGCCAGCTTGAGGGAGAAGTAAAGCTGAATGTCACGGTCTGTGGACGAGGGCAGAATACCGTCCATGGAAATGTGGTTCACATGCGGCATTGTGTGAAGGGCATCATGAATGTCTCTTAGTGAACGGGAAGTGATGAGGATACGGTAGTTTCCCGGGATTAGTTGGGAGGAAGAAGTGTTCAGCTTGCCAGCAAGCAGACGAAGAACCTGTTCCCGAGAATTTGCATCGCCACTCTCATCCAACCCATCGATGACAATCAAAAGGGGAGAAACAATGGCTTTCGAGGCCTTTTCTACTGGTGCAATTATTAATTCTTGCCATTGTTTTATGATGTCCGTCGTGTGCTTGAGCATGTCGTCATCATGGAATGCACCTCTCAGTGCTCGCCTCACGAAAGGATCGCAAGCAGCCAGATCGCGCGCGATTGTGGAAAATATTTTCTCGTGGCGGCAGTCAGTTCCTCGTGTATCAAAGCAGAAGCAAGCTCCCAGACCACCAAGCTCCTTATACCACTTGATTATTGTGTGGGCAATGGCTGATTTGCCTGTATCTGCAGCGCCAGACAACCACAGGACGCGCGGCACGTCCTCTCTCGTGTTGCAAACCCAGGACTTGATCTTGGACAGGATTCCTTCTCGTGTACCTGGGAGACAACACTTGGTGATATCCAGCCCAGCACTGGCTGCATGCACCATATCGCTGTCCAGGTCCTCGGCTAGATGAAAATATGGTGATTGTCAGATAAGGTTCGCGGTGAGTTTAAGGCTAACCCTTACCCATACGGTAGAGAACAATGTCACCACTCGTTTGTTGTTGTAATTGCTGCATCAGATTGTCGAGAACCTTGTTGTACTCCTGAATCGTGGCAAATGTCTCTTCGGAAACGTACTTGCCAACTCGTTTCCCTATCCGAATCACAATAAGTCCCAAGCAACTACTCAGTACATTCGACTCACAAAAATTCTTGGTCTCTGAGTAATGAACAATAAAGTCGGTGCACTCTAGTGTCTGTCGCGCCATCTGTCCGTATATCTCTACCATGGATGGAATCTTGGCCAATTCCTGCTCTTCCGTCATTAAAGCATAGGCTTCGCCAATCTTTGCAAGCAGAGGGGAAAGAGCATTATCTGTGGGTTGCTCATCTTGAATCATCTGACGTTGGACTCTTATAAACCTGCATAGTTGAAGATGTGTGCACAAGCGCACCTTGGACGCGCATATCATTGCTGACTTCGCATATGAATTTATCTGCACATAAAGGTCAGTTACGCACAAACCAGCGATAAAGGCATATACATGTGCAATCCGATAAGCAAGGGAGTCAACTTCCTTCAGGCGTTTGAGAATTTTGGATATACCGTCTGTGGCATTCACTGATTCGGCCTAATGATGGACCTTAGTTTGTTGTCGAAAGAGAAACAATGCTATTTCAGGCATGTGAATAGTCACCTACCTGGTCCCTCTGAACTAATGGCGCAGCCAGACTCGGATGGGGAGTTCGAGCCCCAATAGGAGAATTGGGAGATGAGGTGATGTTATCGAAAGATCCCAGCTTGAGCGTGCGCTTTATGCGAGGTGCATAAGCGCGGGAGCGGGGTAGCTGCAATCCACGATGATATCATTATAAACAACCAGTAAGGACGACGTTCCATACCTGCGAGTCACCCACTGGCACATCGGTGGTGACGCGCTGAGTATCTACATCAGCGCTTGAGTTACTCTGATTATCTTTAGTCATCAAGTTTGAAGTAGCGTCTAGGTGTAAAAAAGACGAGGATCGTGTCCTAGTGTATGGGGCAAGTCGGACGATCTGGGGGGAATTGTCTATAAATATAACAAGTTGCCACGACTCTTGAGCTTGAGGTGAAGGGCATAGCCATCACACATCTATCTACCTAGGCACTAGTACAGCATTGCAAGCTCTACATCAGGGCTATGGATATTTACATAAGCATGCTTTGAATGCTGTACGAAACGCGAATGAATAGCTTGAGATTTTGGGTGGTCAAAATTTTCATTGACCCTTCTCTCACTGTCCTAGTAGAGCAGCCAAATCAACCATAGATTAGTCATCACACTATAGCCGAAAGACTTAATTCCAATTGCAATACAGCGGCTGCCTTGAGGCTCAGGCGCTCACATATGTCACAAGGTATGGTTGGGGTATGGCTTGTTGGCAGCTATTTACATCAACGAAGCAGTACCTACCCTTTCTTTAATCGCACCCCCATTTTGCTCAGAGCTTCCGGGAAGACTGATCTCGACGTCAACCATCTACAATGAGCACATCCAGTGAAAGCTCGGTATGTCGAGGACCGCTTTTCATGATAACATCTCCCTCGAAGTGTTGACTCTGACGCATCCTTGGTTTAGAGCGGACGTCATCGCAAATTTCGTCGGTTGTTACAGGTTGGTAAGAATGTGACTAAAAAGCTTACTGTGAGTCGACGAGGATCCTGAGTTACCTGGAATAAGTCTCATGTGATAATTTGTGATTGCACAAAACCACTTGAAGGATCCCCGCAGCCTCGACCCCCCTGTTCTTCCGAACGCCGTTCGTGAAGGTGCCTTATCGATCCCGAATATCATGGTAAGTCACCTTTCAGTTTCTGCTCTTTCTGTCTAACTCCTACTGGTCGCACATCAGGATACTCCCTCTAGTGTGGAGCAAGGTGCTGAAATCCAATCGACACCACAGGACGCCGAGGAGGTTGCAAAGCTCATGAACCCAATTTCGGAGCGTGTGACAGTCGTAATGCCACTTTTGGGGCGTGTGAAATCTCCATCTCCTGCCCAACATTCACCGGCACCAGTGGATCTCGAGCTTGCATATAATTTCCAGGACACATATATCCGACCCTTCAAGATATTCGACAGTGTTGTCGGAACGCTCACGGATGTATGGGCCAGCCCTCTCGGTCGCGATCGAACTAATACTGTTGCATAGGTACATCCATACACAAAGATTGCACTGTGCGTGTTGTCTCGTGCATCGGAAGTATGTTTGGTTCTTCCCTCGTTTCTATCCCTCGCTTAGAAGTCATCGGTGTAGATAATTCTCAATCAAATGTATCGGGACGGAGCGGTTCTCAGACTTCTCCAGCAGTTAGGACAAGTTTACGACTTCATGATGCAAGACGAGACTCTTCGCGAAATTCCGTCAATGCAGAGCATCGTCGGACCAATAGTTCAGCACACTCTCAAGTGCTCTCAGTTTATCAGAGATTATTCCACGACCAAGAATTTATGTGAGGATTTTACGAAATTATTGCACTTTATTCATTCTTAATCTTCGTGATGTTATTATAGGGAAAAGACTTGGGAAAAATATTCTCTCAGAAACAGATCATACGATTCAACAATACATCGACGTGTTCCAGGAGCTCATGAAACGCTTCCAAGACCGAACTGCTCAGAACACCTCCGTTCAGCGTACAGGTAAGTATTTGTATGTGCATTTTTGACTTGACGTTCATACCTCTTCAGGGGATTTGCCGGACCTCAGTGGCATAACTTATGCACAGGACGCTGGACTTGATCCCGGGAAACAATGCTTACCAGGGACGCGCATGGAAATTCTCTCCGAGATTATCGACTGGGCTAACAGCACGAAAGGCAATGTTCAGCCTGTGCTGTGGCTATCCGGCCCTGCAAGAAAGGGCAAATCAGCCATTGCACACACACTTGCAAACTGGTTCAACAATGTGGGAGGGCTTGGTTCGTATTACTGTTTCGACCGTCAGCGAGATGCCGAGCGTTTGCATGAAAAGATCTTTTCCACCATCGCGCGCGACCTGGCTGACCGTGATCCTGGGGTGAAGCGAGCGTTGGTAGATGCAGTACAGCATGCCAGTGTGCTCAAGAATACGACAGATATCATCCAGCAGTGGCACAAGCTTCTCATGGGACCGCTGGGGAAGCTCTCTAGATTAACGGTGAGACCTGTCCTGATCGTGATCGAAGCACTGGATGAGAGCGGCGGGGCGGATACGCGGCGTGACCTTCTCCGCATAATCGCTGGTAAACCTCCGCATCAGGGTCCCCAAATCACTGATTTGCCATCCAACTTCCGTATCCTTGTCACCTCTCGTCCACTTTCCGATATCAAAACCCAGTTTGACGGTGCTCAGCATATACTTCAGTTGTCCATGGACTATATTCCATCGGAAGTCACGGAGCGTGACATTCATACTTATGTATCTGCAGAGTTGAAGGGGCTGTCGGGTATTCAGGAAAAACAAATTGCAATGCTCGCTGCGCAAGCTGATGGACTTTTCGATTGGGCGCGTCGTGCCTGTGATTACATCAAGAAAGGCACGGACATGGACGCCGTCGATGCTCTCGTGAAACGCGATCTGTATGTTATGTATCGGACGCTCTTGGCAGAGATAATGGCAACCCAAAATGGGACACCTGAAATATTAGCGGTGTTTCGTTCTGTGATGCCACAAATTCTTGGCACAGTCGAACCGCTTTCTTTAATTTCCCTGAATGCCATGAGGGACTGTATTCCAGACCAAAGCAAGCATTACAAGGCGGAGGATATCGTACAACATATGGGATCCCTCCTCAGCGGCACCACCAACCCATCTACACCCATCAAACCCCTTCACACATCATTTCGCGAATTTCTCACAGTCCAGGCATCCAGTGGAGACTTTTTCGTCGACATATCGAAAGCACAACGCGATCTTACTTTTGCGTCGCTTCGAGTGATGAGGCATGGACTTCTCTTCAATCTCTGTAATTTAAAGTCTTCGCACCTCCTCAATCGCGAAGACCTCGAGCTGCATGAACAAGTTGAAAGAAACATCCCTCCATATCTGTCCTATTCTTGTCGATTTTGGTCTTCGCACCTACGAGCAACCGTCTTCGACACGGAACTCGCAGAGGAAGTGAAATCATTCTTCGACCACGAGCGGTTGCTCTTTTGGCTCGAAGTGCTTGGTGTTATTCAAGCAGTCAGTAGCGCAGTCACCGCGCTTCCGCACATCCCCCGGTGGCTGAAGGTAAGCACATGGTGTGTTAGCAGTACCAGAAGCGCTCACACAACTACAGGATCATTCCGGATACGAAGATGTCTCAGCCACTGCAATGGATGTGCATCAATTTATTCAAACCTTCGGTGGTATCATTTTACACAGCACGCCACATCTCTATGTATCAGCGCTGCCTTTCTGGGCTGTCAATTCGTCGATAGGTTCTAAATTCGCCTCAAATTTTCCGAATATTCTTCGTCTGGTGTCTAGATGTGATTCGGAGTCGGTGGCTGTTCAGAGCCTACTCGGAGAGTATGCGGAAAAGGTGTTATCAGTCTCGTTTTCTCCTGATGGGACTCGCATTGCGACTGGCTCAGTGGATAAGACTGTGCGGTTGTGGGATGCAGCGACTGGACAGCCAATTGGTGAGCCCCTGCGGGGGCACACTGGTGCCGTCAGCTCGGTATTGTTCTCGCCGGATGGGACTCGCATCGCCTCAGGTTCGTATGACAGAACCCTCCGACTGTGGGATGCCGTATTGAGGCAGCCAATCGGTGAGCCCTTGCAGGGACACACTGCTTGGGTCAACTCAGTCTCGTTCTCGCCGGATGGGATCCGCATTGTGTCTGGTTCATCTGATAACACTATTCGACTGTGGGAGGCAGCGACGGGGGAGCCAATTGGTGAGCCCTTGCGGGGGCACACAGCTTGGGTTAACTCGGCCTCATTTTCGCCGGATTCCATTTATATCGTGTCTGGTTCAGACGATCAGACCATCCGGCAGTGGGATACAGCGACTGGGCAGCCAGTTGGTGCCCCCTTGCGGGGACACACCGGTGCGGTTACCTCAGTCTCATTCTCGCCAGATGGGACTCGCATTATCTCCGGTTCATATGACAAGACCGTCCGGCTGTGGGATGCTGCGTCGGGGCAGCCAGTCGGTGAGCCCTTGCGGGGACACACTGCTTGGGTTAATTCAGTCTCGTTCTCGCCGAATGGGACCCGCATCATGTCTGGTTCATCGGATAACACTGTTCGACTGTGGGAGGCAGCGAAGGGGAAGCCAATTGGTGAGCCTTTCAAGTGGCACGCTGGTGGGGTTAGGTCAGCCTCGTTTTCGCCAGACGAGATCCGCCTTGTGTCTAGTTCAGTGGATACAACCGTTTCGCAGCCATTACAGGAATGTCCCAAGCGGAATTATTCAATGTCCTCTTCGGATACAGGTCACGCCATACACGACATGAATGACAACATCATGTCAACCAACACTTGGAGCAATCGCTCCATTTGCTTTTCATTGAAGTCAAACCACGCTCTGTGCAATCCGGTTGAGTCAATGGAAGGCGCCTCCCATCATGATGGCATGTCAACCTCCATTTCTCTGGAACCTGATGGATGGGTGATAGGATCCAATCGTGAGCTTCTTTTCTGGGTGCCTCCTACCTCTTGCCGGCTTCTTTTCTGGGTGCCTCCCACCCCTCGACATTCATTTTACACTCCTTGGACTACATTGGTGATGGACGAACGACTGACTGGGGTTGATTTGAGCCGCATGGTACATGGAGAAGGCTGGAAGAATTGCAGAAATTAGTGAGTGCCTGCCATTAGCTTCACTTGCAATCACTAAAATTGAGACTCTAGGCTTTGATCGACGATCTTATACTAGGATACTTAGATACTATTGTACAACATAACCTAGTTCAAGTTTCATGTTTATTTCATGGATTGGTTTGATAGCTCGCAATCTTAAACAAGTCATACCATCCACCTTTCCCTCGGTGAATCACCAATGACAAAGGCTTCCAACCAAGGTCAAAGCTGCGACGACGTCAAGATACAAATGCGATACTCAAACCCTCACCGACACGGCGACACCCTCCAGCTACCCAAACCACATTACTCCCTCCGTACGAAATCGGGGTCGGCCATTGCCCGTGTTGAGTCTTGACGGAGTACACGTTTATGGTATCGGAACTAGAGGAGGTTGTGAGAAATCAAGCTTTAATCAAGTACCAACAAGTAAATGTCAACGTGCGACCTAGACATGCGTCCAAGGCTTACATGGTAGGTACTCTCACCATTTCCTATAAGCTAGTCCTCCCTCCGGCGACACCAGAATTCATGACACGATGCAGCTTCTGTCTGGTGAGATTACAACAGACAAAACAAAATCAGTATGACCTTGGAGAACACCCGATGCCCCGCCCAGTTGCCGTATTCCATATGCGGATGCTCTTGTCCTGTGAACCCGATACAATGCTTTTCCCATCTGACGAGATTGCGACTGATATAACAGATTGAGTGTACCCCTGGAGAGGGGCAATTAATGCCTCGCCAGTCTCTATATCACACCCGAACGGTCTTGTCAACTGAGCCTAACACGATGGAACATCCATCCGGCGAAATTGCAACCGAGTTCGCAGAACCAGTGTGGCTTTCGAGTTCGGCAACCGATGTCTTGTCTGTAATGGTAATGGGTATTGGCATCCCACACCCGAATCGTCTTGTCGTATGAACCAGAACTATGCGACTTCCGTCCGGCGAAATTGCGACAGACCTATTCCATGTCCCTGAGGTCCCGATCCTCGTTAAGCCACGGATCGTAGAATGTCAGAGAGGTTTGACGGTGAGTTTGGAGGCCAATTCTTACCTGAATCCGTGAGGATGGTCGCAGCGTCAATGATAATAACTTGACCTCGAAATTGTTGCATGAGACCTTGGAGAACATCACTGTAATTGCGAATCTCAGCACCCGTGCCCCTGAACACGTGTTTGCCAACTCGTTTCCCTGTACAAAGAGAAAATAGATCTCACTGAGTGCCAAACAACGACGCGGTGGTGTGAACTCACCGAAACTCTTCGTCCCTGAGTAATGGACAATGAATTCCGCGCACTTCAGCGTACGTTGCACTATCTCAATCATAGCCAAATGTTGGCCAGCGCCTTCCTTTCTATCACTAAGACATAGATATTGGAGACCTTATCGAGTAGATCAGATACAGCAGCATCCAGGTTTGCCTGACCGAGAATCATCTGTCACCAAGATATTGATGTTCCTATTAGCTCGCGATAGCGAGAGCATGAAAAAACACACCTTGGATGCTTGAGTCAAGATACTCAATGCCAACTTTGCATACGGATGGAGCTGTGCATGAATAGCATCAGTAGCGTACTAGGTACATATAAGCGGATGTACATTTGCAATCTGGTCAGCAATGGTGTGGAACGTCCTCAGGGTACCAAGAATCGTGGAGAACTGGTCGATCGTATCAGAATCGGATTGTAGGTCACCAATTGCTGAGGTAGCATTTTGAACGATTCCTTGAATAGGGCTGATGCCTGCGACACCTGTTTGGGCATGCGCGAGCGTTTCGCTCATAAGTGTCGTGTCAGGTGGTAATTCCACCCGATGATCGATCTTAGTATGTGATCGAAAGAGAGAAATAAGGCTGCTCCAGCTAACCTTCGCGATGCCTGAATTGGAGGATTGGTCAGGATTTGGTTTGGGAGGGGAAGCGACGAGAGGTGAAGGATGCTGCAGGAGTAATCAACAGCAATCATCACACACGGGCATGCACAGAGTTAATATTACACTTACCTTGATTGTCTTAATGGACATATCGCTGGAACCTGCGACCGTGGGTTCAGGGTTGGGAGACTCTCGAGCGCTTTGAGCGAATTTGTGAAATGAACTGGGGAAGAAATCTTGACAATCACAATCTTCTGTGCAACTTCTGTGAGATTCATTCCCCGAAGGCGGGAGAGAGGATGGCTATAATGATAATTAGAAATAGTGTAGTTGTAATGGCAAAAGCCCATACATTACTGGACCTCTGGCCTCTCTCCTTTGCCAAAGGAGGGTTTCGGTGACTTCGCTTCACCAATTCCCAAGGCTTCTTCCAAGGAGAATTGTTTCCACTCATCGAGTAAGTTGGAAGGACGGTTGAGTAAGTGTCGAGAGGTTTCTCGGTGACAAAGAAGGGGTGGTTGACACGCGGGGTGAACAGCCAGCTGCCGAACATGTGTTTTGGAGCGCCCATTATCGATTGGTTGGACTAGTATATCGATATTGATGCACATGCTGGAACCTCAGCTGAGGTGGGTTGATCAAAAATATGCCATCAGGAAACCTTACCATTGTTGGGTCGGGCCAAGTACTGGCGCAGTGATGCTCACGAGTCACAGTATTAGTGGAAGGACAAAGTTCATCACTACAGACTAGTCAGTAAGAGCACACTACAATGAGCTATCTTTGCGCACGATACATGGTCCGGCTCACAAACAACCTTCGATCTCCAACAGACTCTAGTGGTGGGGGAGACGACGTACCAGGAAGGGAATCGTGCGGAGAGTGTGCAGTGTATTGAGGAAGGAGATGTGATTGGGGAGGGAGGTGGATTATAAAACGGTTCAGGAACCTTGAAAAGGTTAGATAGTAGGCAGGTGGGCATCGGGTGAGCACAAGAGCACATATACTCACCATGAGATATTCGGCATCCAAATATAGTTCAGCGTGAGTCTATTATTAGACTCACTCTCGATCACATCGTCCTCATTCCGAATGAGAGCATCGAATAGCTATAGGAAGATTTTGTGTCGTGTTGCCACCCATAGATGGCCATGGTCTTGAATCTCCCTCAAATTTCAAGACCTCTTGCTTTGACCTTTCCCGAACTCATTTCTCTTACGTTCGCATTAGTTCTGTGCGCTGTTTACACGTGCGCATCCTTCTATTTTCACAACTGACGTCGTATGCTTTTGAGACACAGGCTTATTTTCCACAAGCGAAATCACTTCGACGTACACGAGGTCTTCCTTCCATCATTCCCATCGTTATCGTCCTCTATCCCGAGCAATGTGGATTCAGACATCAACATTCAACGTTGAACATCCATCCAGTCCGATACCATCATGGTGTGTCCTCATTGCTACCACTCGTATAGGTGTTTCAACTGATCGATTCACAAAATTCTAGCTTCATCTTCTAAAAAGACTTTCTTCCTTCTAGCCCGAGAAGACTCTGAATATTAATGCGCATAAGCCGGGCTGTTCCTGCCTTGTGGGCTCACGGCTTACCAACTGCCAGCACTGGCCAAGATCTCTCTTGCAAACACAGGCGGTGTTCCCTATTCATTGGTGATGGTCAAGGACGCGAGAATATTTGAGCCTCGGTGAATGACCTGGCAGCTCCCTATATCCTGTTTACTCGCAGTGACGTTGTGCAGCAGGACAACGTACCTACGTAAGTAGTCTTTTGCTGTCGCTTCTAATTGCATAGAGGCTGATAATGCCCTCCCAGTTATAAGTAGAGTTTACATTATAGGGACGAGTCGCTCCCGTTGCGGTTTTCCTTATCGTCTATATTCTCGCCTCAATTGAATATATCATCCACCCTGCTATCCCGTTGTACTTCTTATCAAGCCAACTCGATCACGACGCGCTGCCACCCACTAACCTTTACAAACCATAATTGTTCTGATGCAGGCACCGCGAACCATCATGTCGGTGAGCCTGTTTATATCAATATGTGCGACAGCGATTGGCCTCATTTTACGCTTCTATGTATCCTAAATATGTGGTATTACAGGAACGAACCTCTAAACAGTAGTCGACGCCCAACCATCCTTTACAACACCAACTTCCACACACGCGGCTTCTCTTCGCCTCACTTCCTCCTCCGGTCACCATTACTTACTCTTCCGCCCTTCCTCCCAGCGAATGCTCATCGTAAGCACAGTATTTCTGAGTTCTTCATATGCTCGAGAGAGGCTGGTTTTGGACGAGCAGATGCTTACGCCTGCGCTACCCGTGATTCTGACCCTTCGTCGAGCGGTGTTCGGGTTGGATGACATTATGATCCATGCTGTTGGACACGGTTTCAGGGGGTAAAGACGTCAATTGCGGCGATCTATCTGTTTAGACAAGGAGGCAATGAAGTCTGACGAGGAGATGTTCATACTGTACGAAGCAGAGTAACACTTGTCAACTCTGTTCTCATTTGCGCACTTTCAAGCGATCCTTGGGGAAGCAATTTTAGATAGTAGTACCAGTAGCAACGGGACGAGTGTATGTAAACATAGTGAATGAAATCTTTGTGCACCCCTAAACAATTTCGCGAGAGTGAGCCCATTAAGTAGAACGGAACAAAAGAAATGTAAGATGGTAAACAGCTATTGTATCAAATCCGTAGAATGTGCATGAATCTCCAGTCAATTAATCTAAGGACATGTCTAGTAGAGTCGGACCAACGGATACTATGACGAACGTGGTACAACTCACTACTGTTCACGACACCTATGCCATGATGTGCCGTGTGCGACACGACTCAAGTCCAGCTGCAGGGCACTGTGGGGTATCACTAGCGTGTTGCCTAGGGCATACACCGCCGAGTGAAAATTAAGCGGGATCCAGAGAAGAAGTCGTCCTTCGGGGCCTATAACCCATCCCTCCTCGTTCGGGACATAATGAGCTGGGGTTTCAGAGGATTGGGACTCGGACTCGGACTCAGATTCAGATTCGGACTCAGACTCGGACTCGGAGGATGATGAGGATGGGGCTGGGGCTGGGGTTTTGGTTTTAGACTCGGACTCGGAGGATGATGGGGCTGGGGCTGGGTTTTGGTTTTAGACTCGGACTCGGACTCGGAGGATGATGGGGCTGGGGTTTTAGACTCGGACTTGGAGGCTGGGGCTGGGGCTGGGGTTTTAGACTTGGAATCTTGGAGAAAGGAGGAGGCGGAATGAAGGGCATGAGTCAGGTCGGTTGAGAAACATATTGTAGGTGCTTCAAATGATTGGTGATGCTGGATTAGAAATTCTAGATCCCACACCCGGATGGTCTTGTCGGATGACCCAGACACGATGCGCTTGCCATCAGGCGAGATTGCGACAGACATAACATATCCGGTGTGCCCTCGAATTGTGGCCAGTGCCTCGCCAGCCTTCATATCCCACACCCGGACGGTCTGGTCAGACGAGCCAGACACGATGCGATGACCATCCGAGGAGATCACAACAGTGTTGACCTCGTTAGTGTGGCCTTGGAGAGGGGAGCCCACTTGCTCGCCAGTCCTCATATCCCACACACGGATAGTCTTGTCTCGTGAGCCGGATACAATGCGACATACATCTGGCGAGATTGCAGCAGAGTTAACCTCACTGGTGTGACCTTGGAGACGGGAACTCGATGCCTCGCCAGTCCCCATACTATCCCACACCTGAATTGTCCTGTCATCCGAACCGGACACTATGCGATTTCCGTCCGATGAAATTGCGACAGACTGAACCCAGTCAGTGTGCCTACTGAGAGAATATGCCTCGCTAGTCTTGATATCCCACACCCGGATTGTCCTGTCAGCTGAACTAGACACAATACAATGTCTATCCGGCGAAATTGCGACAGACAGAACATAGTCAGTGTGACCTTGGAGAATACCTGATGCCTTCCCGGTTTCCGCATTCCACATGCGGATGCTCTTGTCGTCTGAACCAGACACGATGCCCTTCCCATCCGACGAGACTGCAACTGACAGAACACAGTCTGTGTGCCCTTGAAGAGGGGCAACCAATGCCTTGCCAGTCTCTATATCCCACATCCGGACTGTCGTGTCATCTGAACCAGACACGATGGAACATCCATCGGGGGAGATTGCAACAGAATTAACAGTCTCAGTGTGGCATTCGAGGGCGGCAACCGATGCCTTGCCCATAATGGTGTTGGCATTCCACACCCGAATTGTGTTGTCGTCCGAACCAGAGACTATGCAACTTCCATCCGGAGCGATTGCGACAGAGTGAACGTAGGAAGTGTGGCCATGGAGAGGAGATCCTACTGCCTCGCCAGTCTTCGCATCCCACGCTCGGATCGTCTCGTCAGATGAACCAGACACGATGCGGTGTCCATCCGAAAAGATTGCGACTGATGTAACAGCCTGAGTGTGGCCTTTGAGGGGGGTACCGAATGCTTCGCCAGTCTGCATATCCCACAACCGAATTGTCTTGTCTTCTGACCCGGACACAATACGTTTGCCATCAGGCGAAATTGCGACAGACACAACACGGTCAACATGGCCTTGGAGAGGGGCGCCCGATGGCTTGCCGGTCTCCATATCCCACACCCGGATCGTCCTGTCTCCCGATCCAGACACAATGCTTTTCCCATCCGGCGAGATTGCGACAGACCAAACCGTGTTCGTGTGGCCTTGGAGTGGGGTACCAAACGCCTCGCGAGTCTCCATGTCCCACATCCGAATCGTCTTGTCCCGCGAACCAGACACAATGCGTTTACCATCCGGCGAGATTGCGACAGACCAAACTCGGTCAGTGTGGCCTTGGAGGGGAGATCCTGATGCCTCGCCGGTCTTCGCATCCCACACCCGGACTGTTTTGTCCCACGAACCTGAAATGACGCAATGTCCATCTGGCGAGAATGCAACAGACACAACACGTCCAGTGTGGCCTTGAAGAGTGGCACACAATGCCTCGCCAGTATTCATATCCCACAGCTGGATCGTCCCGTCATGTAAACCACACGCAACGTGTTTTCCATCTGGGGACAGTGCAACAGACCAAACCATGTGATTCGCATGGAGTATCTTCTCCATCTGAGGCCAATTTTCGACATGGCCAGCGACGATGCGGGGAGTACGAGGAAACTTTGAGGCGAACTTGCGAAACATTCTCGACTGGGTTGGAGCGAACGGTAGAGCGGACAAGTATAAATGGGGAGTGCTGCGTGAAATGGTGGTTGCGAAGGTTCGGACGAAACGCAGGGTATCCCTGATAGCGTCACGAACATGCGTG